TTTGATTAAGGTTTATCTAAGATTTGATTAGGATTTGGTTAGAATTGTAAGGGCTTATTGTTGTAATTTTTCCTTTTGTCTTCCACACCTAAGAGTCTAGTGCATTCTCAAGCCAAACGCCATGTAATATGATAATATTGAATAATAAGCAGAGTCAATCGTATAGTAGACATTGGAATCTTTGGTACTTGTATTATTCTTTAAGTAGCAATCCTATTCTTTTTCTTTTTTCTTTTGATAAGCAATCCAATAACAACTTCAATAGCACTTTTTTTCTTGTCAACCCTTCATCTTCTTCCGTGTCTTCAAGAAACATCTCTAATTTCTCTTGTAATTTTCCATCAATAGCTCAAAGAAACAATTCAACCTTGTTTGATTATAATATTAACTTTTTTATTTTTGATAATAAAAAAAATTATCTTTTAAATTCTCTTAATAATTTTGTAGCTTCCAAATTCTTGTTAGGTTGTTCAATCTATTTCAAGAATGATTTCTTGGTAATTCAATCAGTATCCTCCAAAAAATACTCATCCTTCAATATATATAAAAATACCTTCCATGAACTTCTAAATTATATACAAGATCTATTTTTATAATAATATAATATTATTATAGATCTTCTTATAGATCTATTGGATGTGGATTGCAATAGCATCACCAAACGATGGATGATGGATGGCAATGGTGATGGTAGACACTAATGGTAACGACAACAATGATGTTGTCATGATGTAATATGGCTAATAGATGAAATTATTATATTATAGAAGATCTTAATTCAAAATATTATAGCAAATTATCTTAGAAATATAGATAATAGTCAAAAGGATAGTAAAGTTAAAAAGTACTAATATTGTCTTTTATAAAATAGGCTTCTATTTATTTTATAGAGCCATAAATAAAGCAAAATAAAATAAATTAGAAAATTAAATAATATGGGCATGTATATGAGGGAGTTAAGAATAGATTTTAGCAAAATTTACCTCAAGTAGCAAAGAATTGATATCTAGAGAGGACTAGTTGTCAACTTAGGTTGACTTCAGATCGTGAGGCACAAAACTACACACCTATAGTGACTTCAAGGTTCTTTTGTAAATTGAAGAATAAAATTTGATAGTAAACTTGATAGGATTTTTATGACCATTGGTTTTGTATGATTTGGATTTGCAATGACTTTGTAAGAGCTTTACAAAGTTAAGATTGTTTCAGATGACTTGGATTTTTGTGAAATAAAATAGAGTTGATGTTTTGGATAACTTCAAGAGTTTTGTAACAAATCTACAAGTAAAATTTTATAGATTAATGATTATAATTGTGTTTAATATGTATTATAAATTTTAGCTTGATCTAAAAATTAAATTGAGAATTATTAAGGTTTAAGTGGGTTATGATCTCAAAAAGTAGAATTTTAGGACTTACAAAGATTTCTAAGATTTCTTATAATTTTTCAATTGGATTATTATGAAAGTTATGTGTGTAGGTATTAGACTTATTTTCTTATATATATAAAAATTTTAAAATCAATTGAATGGTAAAAAAGAGAGATGTTAGTATTAGAAGATCAACATCAAGGTTGGAGAAAGAGGCCAGCCAACATCAAAGCAGATTTTAGGATTTTTCTTCCATGTGGCAAGTGAGTTTGTCTTCAAATTTATTGTGCTTATTTATAACTAATAAATTAAGAGATGTGTAAAATTTTAAAGGAGATCAATGGTTTAATCAAAAGATATTAAGGTTCTAAACTATCTTAGGATTTGATTTAGAATTTAGAATTTGATTAGGATTTGATTAGGATTTGGTTAAGGTTTGGTTTAGGATTTAGAATCTGGTTAGAATTTGATTTAGGATTAGGATTTGATTAGAGTGTGATTTAGAGTTTAGTATAGGGTTTAGGATTTTATTAAGATTTGGTTTAGAATTTAGGATTTGGTTAGGATTTGGGATTTGTCTAGAGTTTGATTTAGAATTTAAGATTTGGTTAGGATTTGATTTAAGATTTAAAATTTGATTAGGATTTGATTTAGGATTTAGGATTTGGTTAGGATTTGATTAGGCTTTGATTAGGATTTAAAATTTGTCTAAGAATTTGATTAAGGTTTGGTTTAGAGTTTAGGATTTAGGATTTATTTAGGATTTGGCTTAGAGTTTGATTGAAGTCCAATTAGGATTTTAATTAGGATTAAATTAGTATTTAGTTGAGATTTATTTAAGATATATTTGTGATTATTCTAAGATTTTTTTAAGATTTATTATGGATTTCTTTTGAATTCTTTTAAGATTTCTTATTGTTTCATTTGTAATTTCTTTAAGGTTATTTTAAATTTAATTAAATCTTGATTAACATTTTTATAGTTTTATTAGACTTTATTTAGTATTCTATTAGAGTTAGAATTTTTTTGTTGCAATTTTCATTCTACCTTTTACAATCAGGTGCCCAGTGTATTCTCGAGCAAGACTTCACATATTACAACAACATTGACAATGATAGTGATAGCAATAGTAATAGTGACGGTGTCATATTACGTGAAGTCTTGCTTGAGAATGCTCTAAGTACCTAGTTGTAGAAGGTAGAATAGAAATTGCAATAACAAAATTTTAATTTTAATAGATTATTGAATAGTTCTAATTAAATTCTTAACAATGTTAAGCAAGTTTTTATCAAATTCAAAAGAAACCTTAAAGAAATTACAAAAGAAACCATAAGAAATCTTAAAGGACTTCAAAAGAAATCCATAATAAATCTTAAAAGAATCCTTAAGAAATCCTAAAGCAATATCAAAATGATTACAAAATGTATCTTAAATAAATCTTAATTAAGTCCTAATTTAATCCTAATTAAAATCCTAATAGACTTCAATCAAACTCTATGCCAAATCCTAAATCCTAAGTAAACCTTAAATCTTAAATCAAATCTTAAATAAATACCAAATCATAAACCAAACCCTAGAAAAATCCTCAATCCTAAATCAAATCCTAAAAAAATCCTAAATCTTAAACCCTAAACCAAATCCTAAATAAATCCTAAATCCTAAATCAAATCCTAAGGCATATTAGAATCCTAATATCTATTGATTAAACCATCAATCTTGCTTGAAAATTTACACACCTCTCAACCTCTTAATTAAAAAATAGTACAATAAATTTGAAGATAATCATACTTATCAAATAGAAGAAAAATCCTAAAACCTACTAGGGTATTGATTGGCCTCCTACTCTAATCTGAATGTTGAACTTCTAGTGCCAATATCTCATTTTCAAATTGTTCAATTGTTCTAAAATTTCACAAATGTATACATATACTTCAAACAACTATTTTTATAAGTCCTCAAAATTTAAACTATAGATCTACTACCAAATTCACAAAATTCTCCAAAATATAATATCTTTTTTATTTCACAAATTCTAGAATCACCCAAAACAACTGAGATTTTGCAAAGCTCTTACAAACTCATCATATACTCAAATCACTCAAAATCAATGCTCAAAGAAACCCTATTAAGTTTTCTCTCAAATCTCACCCTTCAATTTACAAAAGAAGCTCAAAATTACTATAGGTGCTTGGTTTTGTGCCTGAGGGTCTGATTTTGACCGAGGTTAATAACCAATCATCTCCAGGTAATAAATTTTGCCCTTTTGAGTTAATTTTTCCTAAAATCAACTCCTAACTTCTTCCTACATTTGATTATATCCTTTAATTTTCTAATCTATCTTGTTTTGCCTTATTTATGGCCTTATAAAATAAGTAGAAGCTTACTTTGTAAAAAGATAGTATTTACACCTTTAGTTTTACTTTCTCTTTGACTATTATCTATTTTCTAAGATAACTTGCTACAATATTTGAAGTAAGATCTTCTATAATATAATAATTCCTTCACCATTTTCAACTATTAGTCATGTTACATCACAACAACAACAATGGTGGTGGTGACGATGACAATGATGGTAACAATGATGGTGACGACGGTAGGTGAGAGCAAGCAGCAAGCAAGGCAATTCAGTGTAATGAAAAAAATGAAAGAAAGATGAAGGATAAGGTATACACAATTTTTTAAGAACCAAGAGTAGTACATAAGAGCAGTCATACTGATAATGTGTTAAGAATGTTTTAGAAAGAAACACAAGAGTTAGAAGTAATGCACATACACATACATACACATAAGAGAGTATATAAAAGGAGAGAGAGCTTCTAAACAAAACTATGTATTGATGTAATTGTCTCACTTGTATATAAGAAAAGGAAGAAAAGATAAGCAGTTTCTCTTCACTACATTCTTAATACTCTAGCTATACTATTCAATGTAACTACATAAATATAATAGAGAGCGCCGACTACATTTAATGCTCTCAACAAAAGGCATTAAGATCCACTAGTTTGGTAGGACAATTGGAGCCACTATTTATAACCAGCACCAAATAATACTAAATCATCTTTTGAAATCAATCCTATTTGTAACAATACTGAAGTCATATCAATTGATATTTCCTTGCATAGTAGTATTTAACTAGAGTTAAACCACCTTGTTCATCTACTTAATTTTCCTATATTAGATGAGCTATTATGGAGAACATCGCACTACATTTTAATAAAATGAATTGCATTACAAGAACTTGGCAATAACTTTGAGGTGATTTATATAAGTACAAACAAATTACAAGAAATTGAATAATTATATTTTAAATATTATTTTCCATTAAATTTTATATCTTGACTTCATATGTCTTACATTTTGGTCATAATACAAATAATATTCAAAAATAACATTGGTTTTCATTAATATGCCAATTAATAGTTTATACATAATTACTTCCCAATCATTGAACATATATGGTCTAACTATCAATCACTTAATCCAAGAAAATTTTTTGTTCCTGAAGATCTATTTTTAATCATCAATTGCAGTATTCACAAGTTCGTGATTAAAATTGAGAATGTGGCGTTGAAGTGGCAAATGATGACCTTCGTTCACAAGGTTCACCCACACGAGCGTGCTATGCTTATGTTGCATTGCAATTGTACAAGCCGTTGACAATTGTTTTTAACAGCTACAACAGAGAAGACTCGTTTTTTTATCCAATAATGGTGCAGTATACGCAGGTAGCTGTTGATACCTCTACTTCCATTTCAATTCTCAGGAAACATCAAAAAAGGAGTTTAATGGTGACCCTTTATCTCTCATTCCATCCCATGTACTCGAAGGAAAAATAACGACAAGACCATGAGAGTTATGATTCGAGAACAGGAGAGAAGAAATTAAATTAAATTGGTAGACGCTCTAGAAATGACCTCTATCTCACGAGTTAATAAAATAATAATAATAACAATAAATACTTAATATAGGGAGTAATAGCCAACCCATGTGTAAGTAGTTGTAAAGGCCACGATTAAGAACGTCGGAAGCATGGTGTAATTCACGATGTTTTCCATTCCAAGTCTTCCTACAACGGTGATCATCCCATCCGCCAAAGCTCGCGCAAGTGTACCTGCTTCAGTAGAGAGGAGCCCGCAGTTGAATACTCCTCTAGACAAGCGTGGTGACATTGCCTTAGACAACAGTGACATGTTGACTCCTGCGCAATCAATCCAGCCCATGAAGGTCAGGTTTAGGATTTAGAGATCATTTATTATTTAGGTGCACTGGAGCAGAGCCATATCAAATGAATATTATGTAGGAGAAACTGAGATTGTCTTGATCAGCTCCAATTCTACTTTTCACCTATTCATTCTGGCCTAGATCTGTCAGAGCCATGTCGTAGAAAACAAAGAATTCTCAGAGTGAAATATAATTGAAAAACATCAAGAAACAAAAAAACAGAGCTTTCAAACCAGGCACGAGAAAATTTTGATACCTTCAAGAACGTTCGTAGAAACAAATATAACGACTGCAGCTGCCACATATTGGTATGTGGTGTAATGGAAAAAGGGGCTGTAGCATAAGATAGCAAGAACACCAACGCCAGTAGTGATTTGCGTCCACAAAATCACCACCCTGCCAGACACAAGTCCTCAAGTTTAGAAGAGTCCCTGACATGTGTCATTTTCTTGAAAATGAACCATCAATTCACAAGAGCAAATCAGTGTAATTCAATTAGAGTAATTCACTTATGCGTTCTTGTTCGTCTGGTCCTTAACGGTATTCATCACACTTCTAAACGCTATACTGACCTGTCTTCGTAGATGTTACTGATGCAGTTTCCAACAACCGCACTAATCGGCAGTACAGTTAATCCAAGAAGCGACAAAAAGATGGAAACCTGCGATCCCAGATCAATCACGTTAAGGACTTTATGGGGATGCAAACCTCTACGTTGTGCACTAAAACTCTACTTGCCTAACTTATAAAAAGCGAGAACTCTAACAGTGACTAACCAAACCGAGTTCGAATTTGATAACAAAATAGGAGAAATAACAACAGAAGGGATTGATTAAAACGAAGGATACATACATATTACAGGCGCAGTTTGTGAAGAGCATTCGGGGTGACGGCAAAAAGCATAGAGGAAGCAAACGCAAAGTATCCTTACCTGGTATGTTGACCAATTGAAATAATACGTAGTCAATATGCTGGATTCAGATATGAGAAGCTCCGAAGCAAATTTGAGCATGAAATAGATCCACAACAATATTTTGATAGGCATTGTCAGCTCCTTCAGAAGCTCACCCACTGTTTCAACCGCCCTATCATCACCATAATCTGAGTCATCCATCTCGCCCTCTTCTTCGTCTGATTGCTGATACTTGGGCAACCCAGCAGCCAATGAACTCGGAAGATTTCCCGATAATGTTGATAACAAAGGCTGGTTCAACGTTGGAGACGGTGCAGAGTCATGAATGCCTTCCAGATTGTTTTCAGAGGCTTGTCTTGAGATGGGTCCAGAAGGAGCAGGCCTCTCAGGCTCTTTAAAAAAAAGAATAATAAGAAGTAAATATACAACCCAAGCAAGGCACATTACCCATCCTGGGGCAGTGACAAAATTTACAGGTGCTCCATGAATCTGTACAAGCAACGCAATTTAATACTAAGATAGGACTTGAGGTACACACCCAACCACTAGCAGATGTGCCATTTGAGTTAAAGCTAGAAGTCCATTGAGAAAAATATATATATATATAAGAAGAAGAAGAAGAAGAAGAAGAGTACACTCTAGTGAACAAGTCAGATACCTCGAAATTGAGGTTACTAAGAGCACCAGCAAGAGCTGGTCCAACCGCCATTCCTAGAGCACTAGCGCTCACAAAAGCAGCAGACGCACTAGTCAGCTGCTTCATTGGAACGTGGTCAGAAATGTATCTCCTGTTGATAGCCCTCGCACCACCCATCCTGAACAATTGATGCCAAACAAGTACCCACATTCAAAACAAATCAATCACATTATTCTGGATAGACGGAACTACGTCGTTATTTTTATAAAATTTTATATCACAGGAATCTGTAACATATTCAGAGGAGATTTTAAAAAAACAGTTGAAGAGAAAACCTCGGTCTACACGTACCCACACAAAAAGCGCCCGAGGAGAAGGAGCCAAATGGAGTTGAAGTAGAGCGCCAAGGCGTACATCAAATTTCCCGTTATCAAGATCAGAGTACTGATGATGAGAGGAGCTGTGTAAGAAAAATTGGACCACCAGCTGTAGACAAGTGAGGATACCAGAGCCGACAAAGGCATGGACCCTATGATAAATCCACACATAGTGGCTGGAGCATGTAGTAGCTGGGCGTAATCATCTGAAGATGGTACCACAATGTAGTAGTTCACCTGAAAGAATACGTACCCTAATTGTTACTTATAAATTGACAGAAGAGAGAACACGTACTCTGATACTTGAGCATTTGAAACAGGCATTTAGTATATTCGACAATCAATTTGAACAATCACAATAACTGCACATGTGAATGTTAAACCTCAGAGCACAGGTAAGAACCTGTACACGACGGAGAGATGAAGAGCAAGTACCATGTAGAGGAAGGTATTCATAAGATTTAGTTGTATAGACATGAAATCATGAACCTCCTGCTTCCGGAGCATCCCAGATATTCCGCCATTCGGAGCTGGAAGGAGAAGCTCATTTGCCACGAACGTTTGAATGCTGACCTCTTGGGTCAAACGATGCATGGTCTCTACAATAGACTACGAAACAGAAATTCAAATTAATATAACTGCACGAATATAGATAAAACGAGCGAAGTCATTAATTTCAGTGACTTCTAAAAACAAGCACCCGCAACCTCCACGTTGATCTCATCGGCAAGCTTCCGCATTGGAGTCATTGGAGTCTGTAACGTACTAGTGTTCTACCACATATTTTGTAATGAGGAAGGAACCAAAAAAAAATTGATACAAATGTTAAACTTGTTCTTTTTAGAGAAATATTGAACGCATACCCAAAATAATAATAATAATAATAATAATAATAATAATTTTAAATTTTAAAAGTAAGATACCTGAATAACAGGCTCCTGCTCCACAATTCGCTTAGGAAGGGAAGAATTGCGGAAGAGAGAAACAGCACTACTTGTTGATGCTGATTCTAAGCTCTCGTGTCTTAGCTCAGCAAGATTACGAGATATAGTTGCAACCATTGCCCCTAACCCCTGCAACCAGCAAGAAAACACAGCATGATGCAAGATTTGGAGATAATAAAAGAAACAAATTACCCAAAACAACATATCAATCGTATTAAAGATGAACAAAGCCCTGGACGTATCTGCAAGCGTTTGGAGACAAAAAGGACTGAATAAGAGACGGTGTTTTCTTAAGCCAGGGGGTGAAAAATCGGTACACATACCACTTGTCGAAACACCTGTTGAAGCTGTGAGTAGGGGTGATTGGACCTTGAGGATATATATTGATGTCCAAGGCGAAACCCAACCCGCTTGTCGAATTTCTTCAATATTTTACGTAACCCTGTAGCATTGAGCTCTACAAAATGTAATAGCTGTAGGAGATCGTAACCAATTTTCCTGCAATGCCAAAATTCTTGAATGATCAAGCTGTCGCAATATTATAGATTTGAGCTGCATTTTGCAAGAGTATAGACATCACAATGTAACGAGAATGAAGCTCTGCAGAATGTTACCTATACTCATCCATCATTTGCCAGGGGACTATTACCGGGCTACATGGAGGCTCACAAAGTCCAGATTCATCCGCCTCATAATACTCTCGAGATGCAACTTCTCTCCGTTCGCGCAATCTTTGCAAACGCTCCGCTAAAAGACCTTGCCTCTCAATTAGAAATAACACGATCTTCTCTACCTGCAGCACCGCCCCAAGAAAAGTTGTTTCACAAATATGATGCAGAATCCCTCAGAACCCATAGATTCCCAATAAAACTTGTCATAGTGTTCTCTTGAATTCACTCATAAAAATCTGCTTCTGCAAATCGATATTTACAAAGGTTTTATCCCTCCCACTGATCACTTATTGACCAACCAAATGTGCAATGGCAAGTGAACAGAGCAAAACCTGAGAGTCCAGAAGCTCCGAAAAAGCTTTGACAATTTCATGGCGCTCATCGTCTGTCACACCTGACGCACGAACACGACCAGAGTAGTGCTTGATCCTTTTCTTTAGTGATTTGTATCCGATGTAATACCTGATCACACACCACTCGCTGCTCAGTGAAATGGCAAACACATTACTCATTCACATGGACCCTCAATGCACGCAAAGATCAGTACCACACTTCATTTTACTTTCTCTTCTCAGAAAAGGAATTAGAAAAGACGTACTCTTCCCAACCGGGTATTTGGCTGGCTAGCATGTAATGTCCAAAATGCACCATCTTGTCTAGGTAATTTACTTAAGTCCAGCTTCTCAACAATTGGTGCAGATTTACTAAAAAAGTGAGGCAGTGATTCGCTGCTTGTATCATACCCCTGATGAATCACAAGGACAGGTCAAGATCAGTGTCGAAATGAATATCAGTGTGTACCAATATCTGAAAACGTCGTGGTAACGTTGTACACCAAAAAAAGACATCTAAGGCCTCACGGAACGAAGCGACTTCAAAACGTGAGGCACCCCTGACTTGCACAGACGAAGACATTGTCTCAATTCATTGTTCTAAATTCTTTCACAACCTTTTCCTTTAAAAAGGCCACGTCAGTCAAAGCAAGCAATAGATGCAGGTTCTCTTAAATAAATTTTTAAAAAATCAAAAAATCAAAAATCAAAATTAAAGGAATCTGGTTACCTCACTCGTTCGCTCCGAACCCAGTAGATTCGCCAGCAAAGCAACTATTTGAACTGATAAAATCGAGAGCATCAATGTGATCTTAACCACCCGATGTTTCCCTTCCCATCTTGTAGCGCTTTTACAGTCAGGTTACTACACAGCTACGCCACGCAAGTAATTTCTGACGGCAGGAGGCGAGTATAATACATACAACTTCATAGTTGTCAAATCACGGTAAAACCCTGTCGAACTGGCTTTTGTACTGGAACCGTGACGCGATAAAACTCTGTAATATAGCACAGAATCTCCAATCTATCGACAGTTACATGAAATCGCAAAAAGTTCTTCAAATTCTACAATACCTGCATTATCTTCAGTTGAAAAAGAATACGAAATCATCAATCAAGCTTCCTTCAGGTGGTCAAAAAAGCAGTACCCTCAAAACCCCTAAATGAGCGAACACAAGCACGAAGAATTTCCAACGTAACCAGCACTAAAAATTCAAGGTTCTGTTTCTCAGAAAAACGGCAAACTCTCAGGAAACCGACCCGACGCGGTAGGCGTATTCTCAGGCTCTCCCGCAACTTTAACATTGTAAAGAACTCTAAAGGTATCAAAGAAAGAAAGTCTATGCTGCGGTTAAGGGAAGGGTCAAAGCCACAGCGCGTACTGGCCTCGAGTTTTTGTGCTGTACGTCAAGTTTCAAGCTTCGAACTTCAAAAATCGGTGGCTAATCACAATCCTGTACTCTTCCTGCGAAACAAGCACTCGCTCGCTCCTCAACGCACGCGTAATTGAAACCTTGCCAAGTCCCTGGGGGTCCTTGGCTAGAGAGAGGTCAACGATAAGTGTGCTTCAAAATTCTCTTCAACTCTAAGCATTCGTGCTCGAACTGGCAGGTTTTCTGCAGCCAACCACCTTCAAGCACTCTAGGAACAGCATCGATATAAACTGGAAGTGCATGGACTTATATGCACTGCCAGCGACGCATTTGTGTTTCTCGTGTACAAACACTGATTATCATCCCTCACCTAACGCAGACACTAATTTGAAGAAAAAGCTTTCAAACTCCAGTCTGCTGTGTGACGTCAATTCCCAGCCATTCCCGAAAAACTTTGGCTAAACTGATCCACCTACTTCCGCTCTCTTTGAGCACACTGACTAATAACGCCCCTCATATTGCGACACACGTATCATATGGATCTGAGTGATCAGCGACATGCAAAAAACAAATATCCCTCCAGAGTTTCTCCTTCTCTCGAGCGTCATTACTCCTGCTAGTCCTTTCACAAAAGAGTGGCAGGACTTACCCAAACTCAACTCAAACACGATCTCATCTATGCCTTCCTTCTGTGCTGGGGGTTGTAGGGCTCCTTACCCTCTATTCTCCTGCGAGGATTGATGTGTATCCAACAAGGTTCAGCGGCTCCCACTCAGCGACGTAATCGAAGAGAACTTGTCGAGCTCTCTTGAAAGCCGCCAGTCGCGCCAACATCGACCCGCAAGCAACACGAGAGACCTGGGATCAGAACGCTTTGTGGAAGCTCAAACCCTGGATGACAATCTTTACCATGGTTATCCACCTCATAGCCCCCTCGTAATCCTCGCAGCAGTTCAAAAAAAAAAAAAAAAAAAAAAAAAAAAAAAAACTCACACCATTCTGCACTCCTGGAAAACGCACAACAGCGAAACAACAGATCCAGATGAATCTATCTCTTTCAACCACTACGGTTGGACGTCCTGTTCTCTCACTACAATTAGACAAATCCCAATAAGTCCAGATCTACGCAGCCACGCAGGGCCACCTCCACCGACTTCGGAAAAGAACCAACCCTCCGCCTCGATTAGCCAAAAGCAATCCACAAAAGACTATTAACCCAAGGAGGACTCAAAGCTTCATGCGGCCACCAACGCCGCTCCCATCAAGCAACGAATTACGTCGCTGGAATGAACACCTCGACCAACTACCCGTGAAAACCTTCTCGAAAACAGCACCCATGAGTCCGCAAGAGTGCCGTAAATATTCGTCAAATCCCCGGCTCTCTCGGCGGACCCCACATGAGCACATCTTTTACATCTAACCATCCTGCGCTAGATTGAAAATCAATTGCTGGAATGTAAACAACAATTCAGCAATCGCGAGCACCACCATCGCCATGAGAAATAAAGCGAATCTGGCTTTGCGCGCAGTGTGTGGGAAACGGATCTCCCAAAGAGGAAGGTGGGACGGTATTAGGCTCCCCGGTAAAAGGGTCTGGTTTCCATATCCATCACCCGCTGGGCCCGGACAGTGGAACGGGCTCCAGCCGCGCTTTCTCAATTTTATTGTGACGCATGTTTTTTTACCCCATGGGAACATTCGTTTACTATGCGTGAAGCATGAGCGACTTGGAAAATTTACTTTTACACGTCGTGGGGTTGGCTTTGGGAGCCGGCCCAATACCTTGATGATAAGTTTGAAAATGGCTTTAGGGTTGCTTTGCTGAGAATTTGGTTTATTGAGTATTTTGAGAGTTAGTTTAGTTGAAGAGTGAAAGCAAGTCCAACAATAATTAATTGGAGATCACTTTTCTTTTTTCTTTTTTCTTTTTTTTTTTTCTTTTACTCACTGATAGTTCCCTTATAAGCCTTGTGTGAAACATATGCCAGGTGCAATATTAGTAATGCTTGTGTGAATCCCTAACTCTAAGCCACACTAATCTATCCTAAAAGCATGCTTCTTCTTTTTCTTTTTCTTTTTCCTTCTCACAACAAAATGTCAAATATAAACAGGAGGTTTTTGACTTGCATAATTCCCTCATGAGAATTTCTTATTTGCTATTTAGTGTAGATTCCATCATAAATGGAAGCTAGAGAATGCTCTTTTGGCATTCAATGATTTGCAAGGCACTGCAAGATAATCAAATTCGCATACAAGATATTAGTTTGGTGTCACCCAAAGGATAAAAGAGAAAAGAACTTTCCTAGCAAGTTTAGTTCATGTTTGTTGATGAATTTTTTTGAAGGTTAGCAAATATTATAAGGACAAGTAGCATCTTGTCAAACTCACTCATGTATTTTTGTATGTATGTCTGTAGCTATTTATTTATTCATTATACATTAAAAGTTTAATTGTTTCTTATTTGGTTTACTTTGATGTACAATAAGATTCTTAACTAAGCTCTCAAATAATACATGATACTTCTGCAGAATGTTTGGTTTTTACTAATTTTCTGTTGTGTTGATTTTGTAACAAGTAGAAGCACTTACATAGCCATTTGAACAAGTAAGCAATTCTTTTATTGTACAACAACCAAGTTAATACACAATTTATTTTTCTTTGCTTTCATGTTGCCAAATGATAAACATATTTCAAAAAAACACTACACTTAAATCAATTTGCAGAAAACATTTGATTATGCATTTGGTTGATAAATCCCTCACAGCATCCTCAAAATGTATGTATATTTAAGTAAAGAGAGCAGACACACTCACAGCAACTTTCACTCTAGACTATGCACCTTAAATCAGAAGCTTAACCCACTTTAATAAGCTCCTCCTCCTCCAATCTGACACACTGCAAACCTTTAAACACTAATTTTTATTTTTATTTTTTTCATTAAAATCCTTGTCCTTAGCCAATTTTTCATACTATTGAATGTGACCAACATGGAAACCTACAACCTAACATCCATTGCCAGCAGACATACTGCTATTGCAAAAAAGGAAGCAAACAAAATACACATAAACATCTCTCACTCGAACAAAAAATGCACAGTCAAAGATACAATCCACAATACTGCCCATCATACCTTTCACAACATTATGTTTCAAAAAACTACCAAAAAATAAAAATAAAAATAAATTAAAATTTATACACACATATACATCTATCCATGGTGAGGTACAGCTTGACCAGCAAAAAAAAATGAACAGGGACAAGATTGTAAGAGTGGAGAAGGAGGCACAACTAGCATGTGTGTGGGAGGTGTGTCATGGTCTGGGGCTGATGGCTGGAACAAAAATGGGTGTCTATACATAGAAGCATTGGACAACTATAATGCAACGAATATAACAATTATCAAAGTTAAGAAAAAGTAAAAAAACTGTCCAATTGATTCTTTATGTTGATGCATTTGTGAAGAGCATGAGTGAGTGAGTGAGAAGCATGGAATTACTCCAATTGTGAGTGAATCATGGGCTTTGTCAGATTCCTGTCCTCAGACAGACAGACAAATACAGACACACATAGACACACACACACAACACAGACAGGTGCTGGAATCTCTGATTCCACTCTTGTGAATCTCATGTTGGAGATTCTCTTTTGCATGATGTGTGCCTTGAAATGCATGGCTTGCATGGCTTTCACGTGCTCTGGAGATGAAAATGTTGGAAATAGAAATAGTAAAATAATAATAAATAATCACCTAGAAGCATCTGACTTGTGTAGCCTTATTTCTTGCACTGTTAGTTTTTAGGGTTTGTGGTTTTGCTTCTGTAGTGATTGATTGATTCTTTCTTAGTTTGAAGATCTGGGTACTAACTTAATATGGTATATGGCTGGTAAATTCCATCATGGTTGCTTGGTTAACTAGACCTGAGGTGCTAATTTACAGCATGCTTTGTGTGCTTGTTTTGGCTTTACACTCCATTGGTTATTGATTTTAGGAAGGAATACAATCCAACAACGTAACAAGCAGTTGTACAACAAACCAGCAAATGATATGGTTCCCAATCCAACACTTCAAACATACTGAAATTGTTTTCTTGTGAAAGATGTAGTGTTAAAATTAGATCAATTCAAAATATTGCTTTAAGCTTGACCCATGTATTCCAAATCTTGTCAAAATTAGCTCTTGAAAAATACACATACTTGAATAAAAACAAAAATCATTTTAAAAATTTTTTGACCACAAAATACTCCAAGTGAAATCTTTAAATGTCTCTTTTTGTATTGATTGAGCATATGATGAATGGGTTCTTACCAACATGAAGGCTTTATTTAATACATACCCATTTTGTTAAGATTCACAATTAATAATTTTCTTATCATTATCAAAGTTTTATCTGATACACACACATGCTTAGTAAAACTAATATTGAATCTTGGTAGGTCCTATAAATAACCCATGCTTTGCAAGCCTTTGAGAAGACACATTCTAAGGCTTAAGTCAGACTTTGCATGTTCCTTAAGATTTATGGTGGACTAAACAATCCTTTGGTGCACATTACAATGCCAATAACTTGATTTGTGATGATAAAACTTCAACATCTATTGTAGGCACCACCTCACCACCAAAATACTTTGGACAAAAGTATCTCCTTCAAATAATGTATTCTACAATATTTTGCATGTTATTTTTTCTACAAGATTGGCAAATGATATAAAAATGGAAAATTACTAAATCAACCCACTTTTTCACTAAATAGACCCACCTCCCTCCAATCCCATGTATTTTCTTAGTGAGTCGCAAGAGCTAATAACCATTTTTGGCAGAGGGTAGATTGACTTAGTAAAAAGGTGGGTTGATTTAGCAATTCCCTAAAACTCTTGTTAATATTATTATTTTAAAATGCCATCTGACTCTGCTTTGGATGGCTTCTAATACATTTTGTACAAATTTCTAGCTTAATTGCTTCAATTTAGGTGCAAGATATGTATATTCAATCTGCTTTTGAAAAATGCTATTTATTTACATTCCTCTATACTAATTACAAAGCTGAACTTTCCTTATTTTTTAAAAATAATTATAATCATGTGTATTAGTGTAATTGATTTAATACAAAGCAACAAATAAATTTAAGAATTAAAATATGAAATATAAAATATAATGCATAAAGAAGAAAAGATTATAAATTATTTAAGTATTGATGTGGCTTTATAATTTTTAATTAATCTATTTTTGAAAAAAAATATTACAATGTAAAGGCAGAATTTATTTTGTTATATAATAATAAATTTAATAAATACAACATAAACAGCTACATTAATTTTTTAAAGACATTTGTATAATTTTTTTAAAGTAAAATTTACATATTTAACTTAGTTGAAGCTTGATATACTGTATACTCGATTATTAATTTTTTTTTAAAATAATTTAGCAATCAAATATGGATTAATAATGTTTTAGGATATTTTTATTTATTTATTGATAAATACATAAATTTTAAAATTAATTTTATTTATGAAATTTAAATTGGTAATAAGAATTTAACCTATAATATTCTATCAGTAAGTAGAATCTTGATTTCTTCAATTATATAAAAGAATCATAAAAAAAATAAAATACTATTTCAAATTAACAAAAAAGCATGAATAGAAATTATATTATTTTTTTCTTGTGTTAAAGTTATTTATTGAAATTTAGAGAGTTCAAATAAAAGAGAGATGTCCAATTAGCAAAAATTCCACGTGGACATCACCTTTATTTATATATTTTCTTATTATTAATATTGCTAATATTAATGTGTGGATTGTTGTTGTTGTTGTTGTTGGTTCTTTTTTTTTATTTAATTTTTTTAATACCTTTCAACTTCATCAGTATCTAATTCATTGAAAAAACTTTTATTAATGGTGTTGTTATGGTGTGGCATAGGAGGTGGCTACATACTAAAAAAAGATGTCCACTAAATGGTTTCCAAAAAG